TGGAAGAAAAGAACCATTTGTATATTACAGTGTAATCACAATATCTACTAATTTCCTCCGATACACTACAGGCCTCTTTTGAGAAGAGATTGCTGGCATTATCCCCATTTTATAAATTAGGAGCCTTACAGTACAGCAAAATGATTTCACAGGAACTGAGAGTTACTGATAAAGTGGAGCCTGATATCAGTGAAGCTGATAAAGGAAGAATAAAACTCAGTTATCCTAAATTCTCAGCACAGTTCACTCTCTGCAAGATTCAGTGCTCACTTGCATCTGGGATTATGACAGAAGTCTGCAGCAAACCTTTTCCCCCTGCATTTCTAACTAATTTATTTTCTAGTTTTTTTAATATCACCACACACTGAAGTGAATAATTACAAAATCGCTTGTTTCTGTATGTTGTGTCCACAAGGACATCACAAGCACATTTCAGTGGTGACACAAAATAAGACTGACTTCAAATAAGAGTTCTAGCACTCCCCTTTTTTTAAAAAGCATCTCATGGACTCATTTTGGTGCTTTCACAAAGTGAGACACAAATCTCCATGGATTGATGGGAATGCAGTGTTTGTAAAAGCCCTGCAGACCTTCAAGGCTTCATAGCTCTTTATCCCAGATTGACTCTCCAAGGAGCATCTGCCTACTGGTGTTCTATTTCAGACACTTATGCCATGCCCCAGTCCTGGCCATAGGTCTCCTCTTCTTCCAGTAACTAAAGCTATTGTACCACAGAGTGAGAGCAGAGGGCTTTTTCTTGTAAATTAAGGACAGTTGTAGGACCCCTAGCCTCATTTCATTCCTTATAGAGGCAGGGTTTTCAGAGAGGTCAGAACCTTGTTAATATATGTATAGTTTTCTTTGGGATATTTTGACCTTCTGATAGGATTCAGAAGCTGGATTAAGAATCAGATAACAAAATCCTGGCAAGAATGTAGAGATTTGCCTGCTCCTCCTACTCCAAAGAGAATAAACCAAATGAGAAAGGCAGAAATTACTGTGTCTTATGTGTGTGGACAGTAAGATTTCCATAAGATTTTCAAATTATGTCTTGACCTAGCTAGAACTAAATATACACTTTTCCCTTTGACATATTTGTGTGTTTGTTTGCTTTCCCAGTCCTCACTGCTCCAGAACTCCTTAAATTAGATAGAATAAAACCTTTCATAACCTATAATCTAAAAGCAAGCCTTTCATTAGTTGATCTCCTCCTGCACTTAGTCAAATGTCACTTTTTCTTTTTCCTGAAGAAAAGCTAGAATCAAATTTACACCTGTATTCCTCTTTTGTGATAAGGAGTTTTGTGATTTCCATCTGCCCTGAAGAGCAGGTGGCCAATATCAAGCTTGTTGCTTCAAGATACCACAACTGTTAAGCATGTTTGCTTTACCATACTTATGGTTAAGTATGTTTGCTATCTGAGGGCTTGCAAGTGAACACCAGGATCTTCTGAGTTCCTAAAGCCAACATCTTTAAAAAGCTATTTTTGGACTTTAATGCACCAGATCCTTGCTATCTGAAACCAACTTTCTGTGTTTAGGTGATGAGTGGACTGAAAAAAGCCTTGCAAGATCTTTGCCTAGACTCAGTTTTGTTGGACCCTCGTAGATTTACAGCAGCTCTGGGCTACTGAGACCCAGATTTAAGGACATGGTGGTCCATAATTAGTGGCACTGCACATATGGAGCAGAAATGAAGAGACTCCCCCTCTTAGGCAAAAAAGCAAAGATTGCAGTGGCATCTTGCAGCTACCTGTGTTGGGGACAATCAAAGAAAGAGTCATCAATATCCCAGAATGAAAATGTGTCTGCATCAATTTTAGATGTGGGGAGTTTTAAGAGATGTCATCCATCATATCTGACTGGCAGTATGTTTGGGGAGGGTAGACCAAAGCATGGAGCCGTGCCAAAATACTCTTAAAATTTGGCAAGTTTAAAAGAACAAAATTGACTTCCCTTTAAGATAGAAAAATTAGTCTGAAATTAATTACTTAATTCCTAATACTCCTGAAATTGCTGCTTATTCCTATGCTTAGCTGTTCCTTAGCAGAATAATCTGCATATTTTACAAGAACATTTAAAGTTTATTTACAGAAACATCCAAAATTCTTTATTTTAGATGTATATGGTGAGTTAATTGCTTTTTCCTTAATTGAGATTACAACTGTAATCTTTTAAAAACACACTAGTCCAAATATTATCACAGATGTAGCTTCCAGGATTCATTGCATTTAGAAATGACTCAAATTCTTTCTAAGGCTAAGATGAAGTTTTCATTATAGTACATTTCAACACAGTTAACCTGTCCAGGCTTTAGGACTAGTTATGGCCCCACTTCTGTACATTCACAAATGGATTGACTATACACTTCTTGCCACTATTCACTGCCCGCCAGTCCTTGAAATATTCTAGGCAGTTACATTTCCTTGGAAGCTTGTGTGTAATTGTGTTTGAAGAAAGCAAGTTGTAAATTATTTGGACTATCAGTGTTCACTGAAATTGGGCATTAGTGTGTGAGGCCGAACAACTCTATTTCTACTTGTTTCTAATGAGGTTTTACAGTGAAATAACTTCCGAATGACTTAACAAATCCAGAATTTTTTAAAGTTACATATAAAATTTATATATATTTTTTTTTTTTCTATGTTCATTTGCTTTTTAAAAAGAGCCACATCCTTACCTGGGGCCAGACTGAAGTGTTGTGTAAGTGGTGAGAAAGCCTACATGCAAAGACAAGTGCAAATCTATAAAGTGTGTAAACCCAGGTGTTTGCTGCTTGCTTGGAGACTGTAGTCTCTCTTGTCTCTGTGCAAAGCGAAAGGAACCACTCTAACAGGTGGTGTTTTAGTCCTGTTTTTCCAAGGGTTATGACCCAAGTCCAAGACCCAGCTTGTGGGGCTGACTGGTCCTTCTGCTAACAGCACAACTTGTTTGTAATGAGGTTTTACAGTGAAATGATTTCTGAATGACTTAACAACTACAGAATTGTTTAAGCTTTGGTCTGGGAGTGATGGTGAAAGCTGGAGTATAGCACTACAGAAGGAGATAGGAAGCAACTGGTGAAACTATTCAAAGGTTTAAAATCAAATGTTTGACAATCAATAGTATTCTGTTACTCCATATATCATCCTTGGTGTGTGCATATATACTTGAACAATTCAACAAAGTGCAGTCTGCTGTGAGCAGTGGTATTCTATTCACAGAGCCACAGGGAGAGCAGAACAATTAGAAATAGCATGAGACCAAATATTTCAACTTTTGGAACAATTTTAGCAACAGTGTCTGGAGTGTTTCATGAGGGCTGCTTTATGACCTCTTGGCTCGTTCTGAATAGCTCATCTATATCTTTGTCAAACAGCTACATTAGGATGATAAATGTGCCTAGAATTTCAAATACAACATTGAGTAAACCTGCCAGATGATGTTTATATTACAAATGTCTCTCACCGATATTTCTTTTCCTTACAGAGTTTTTTTTTGGTGTTTGTTTGCTTTTTAAAAAGGAGCCACATCCTCGCCTATGGCCAGACTGAAGGGTTGAGTAAGTGGCGTGAATGCATAAATGCAAAGATGACCAGAAAATCATCTTTGCAGTGCCTTGACGTTGCTGCTTCTCTGTGCAGGTCTGTTCCCTCCCACTGTACAGAAGGTGCTGTGCAGAGCTGATTTGTGCTGGCTGTGGCAATGATTTGAGGCTAAGGAAGCCTGGTGTTCCTACAAGGAGTCTGCCTTGTGCCTGTGCCCAGGCTTTGCCCTCCCAAATAATCACACCAGCTCACTGTGTGCTCAAAGTGCCTGTAGGACTCCTTCGTTGTTGGTGCAAAAGACCTGCAGATCTAAGTCATAATTAATGGCTGTTTTAATTTCAGCTTTTTTTCTCTCACCCAAGCCTGTAATGTAGAAGTAATGAGAAACGTGCATGAGGTATCTCTCTGGTGTTATTCTTGGCTACCCACCAGGCACCAATCTGGGATTCTCCACTCTGTTCTGCTAATGTGCTGCAATTTTCACTGGTTTGAAATGGGGGCAGACCATATTCATTCCCATCTGCTAATTTTGAATATTAGTGATGCTCTAAGATTGCATGAGTTTAAATGACTGTTTAAGTGTTATGGCAGCGAAGAATAATGTCCATAAATGTCCCAACTTGGAGCACAGCTTCAGGCTAGCTATTTGTTTTTTGGAAATGGACTTAGACATGAGTAGAATTTTTTATTTTAAAGAAACTTTCTTATTTCCATACCTATATCTTCCTACCTATCCTCACACTTCCACAGCCCATACTGCCACTGCCAGCATTCCTTTTTCACTCAGACAGGGGAAGGTGCTGCAGTGATAAAGTTCTGGCAAAAAAGATGATGGTAGCGTCATTTTAGGAGATATTTCCCACAGTGAGTAGTAGGAGGATGAGGAAAGTAAGTGGGAGAGTGGAGAAAAAGAGTGATATGGCTGCCTGCCTTTCATTCTCAGTCAATGAGAAAACTAATTGTAGACCCTTGCCTTCACAAGGTAAGTGACCTGCTGATGTTAGACAGTAAATGTTCAGGCACCTGTGAAGTGATGTGACAACTGCCACGTTGAGACTCAGCAAACACAAGGGTCATTTGCATACTCAGAACTGCTCTTTGTATGCTTTTATTCTGAGTTATTTGTTCAATTTTGAATATATTTCAGGTTAGGACAGATGGAAGTGAGGAGAAAAAGAATCCCCAGTTTAGTTCAGTCTGCTTTTTCTTATTCCCTTTATTCCACAGTTGAGAGCTGGCTCTCAAAATTTGCGTGTTACTGAATGCTGAGATGTTGAATCTTCAGGAGCTGGGAAGCTGGAATGATTATTTGAATTTTATGACTCTGAATTTTATGGCTCCTCTCTGACAGTACTTGGAACAGTTAATATCACACTTTTCTAATCTCTGTTCTTTCTTTTAGCTTGTATCAAGGTAATCAATTGTCAATAACCAATTCCTTTTTCTTTTTCTTTTCTTTTTTTTTTATTTCAAGGATGATACCAGCTACAAACAAGGCCTTTGTTGTAACCAACCTTGTTTCTGGAACAGGCTATGACCTCTGCGTCCTGGCAATGTGGGATGACACGGCCACAACCCTTACTGCCACCAATATTGTGGGATGTGCCCAGTTCTTCACCAAAGAAGACTACCCTCAGTGCCAATCGATGCACAGTCAGTTCCTGGGTGGGACCATGATTCTGATCATTGGGGGCATCATTGTGGCCACTCTGTTGGTGTTCATTGTAATCCTCATGGTCCGCTATAAGGTCTGCAGCAATTCCCAGGGCAAGATGTCGAACGTCAGCAACGTCTACTCGCAGACGAACGGAGCACAACCGGTTCAGAACGGAGTCTTGCCCCAAGTCAATCCCAAAGTGGTGGTGAGAAATGAACTTATGGAGTTTAACTGTCAGTCTGCACGGAGCAGCATCTCCTCGTCCTCCAGCTCTGCAAATAGCCGTGACTGTGACAACTACAGCCTCCAAAGTGAACAGGGCACATTGTCCAGTAAATGGAGGCCTCCTTCCCGGTCAAAACACAATATTGACCGGCTAATGGGAGCTTTTGCCTCCCTGGAACTGAAATGTCAGAAAAAGGAGGAGATGACAGACTCCAGAACTTCCACGGTGGCCCGCCACACGGACAAAGAGCCACTGCTGGGCCAGACAGAGTCCAAATTCCGCAGCTTCCTCATGTTGCCTCTGGAGGGCAAAACTAAACGTAGCCATTCTTTTGACATGGGGGACTTCGCCACATCTCAGTGTTGTACCTACCCAAAAAAGATAACGAACATTTGGACAAAGAGGAGCCTCTCGGTCAACGGCATGCTTTTGCAGTATGATGACAATGACCTAACAGGGGCCAAAGGGACTTTTGGGAGCTCAGAGTGGGTAATGGAAAGCACGGTGTAAATATCAGCGTCTCCCCGCTTCTCTTCTCCCCTCATGTGTTATAAAGCACGGTTTGCTTCAGGGCCGTGCAATTGGAAAGAGAGGGGAGGAAACATTTTCTGTTGTACTGGCCAAAAAGATAGGCAAGCAAGTTACAGGAATAGTAAAAGAGAAAGAGGGTCATGAAATGTGAATAGGCACATACGGTACCATTCCTGTCTGGCCCCAACTAAACCATGCGTGAATGTTTCAAGGAATTTGCTAGTTGTATTTAGCATTGCTTTCCAAAAGTTACTCGGACTCCTGGTGAACTTCCACACAAGATTAAACAAGGAGGATGAAAAGGGATTTAACAGCAGAATTTTAATTTTACAGGGTTTCTTTTTACTTTCTTTCTTTGTTTTTGTTTTTGTTTTAATGGCACCTCTTTTTTGTTGTTTTTGTTTGTTTGTTTGTTTTTAACCACAGAAATACACTTCTGTGGATATGACTGGTGCTAGGATATATCTGGTTGTCATTCCAAGGAATTTTCTCAAAAGTGCAGGCAGGGCACCCACAGGGGCAGATCAGACTAAATTGTTCAGCATAATCTCATGGTCTTAACTGTGACATCAGGGCAAACTATATTTGTTGTTGAATGGACTTTGGGTTGGTATTTAATTATTTCTCTTCTTTTTTGATTTGTTACTGCTTTTGAGTTGCTTTTTTCCCACAACACAAGGTAAGTTTCCATGCATATTTTGCTTTGTTTTCAGCCTCATCAAATCCCCCATATGGAAAGGAGGATATGTGCAAAGGTCAAATATCTGATGTACTGTATAACCCACTTCTATCTAATACCATCCCTTTTTGTCCTAGGAAAAGTTTGATCTAGGGACAAATAATAATAATAAAAATTAAAAAATCCTCTTTCTTCCATCTCCCTCATAACCTCTTATTGTCAATGCTCAAGGCAGATTGCATGAAATATTGATATCTGTAGGGGTGTTGCTATCAAAGATGGGGAAAATAGTTATCACCATACCCTAATAAAGGATAAAGAAAGGGAAAACTAAAGAAGCTACTGGGAGCTCTCCACATTATGGATAGCAGTGGCTTCTGGTAGGGGGCATGCTCTCACTCCACTAAAATGAGAGACTTGCACCCTATATGACAATAACTCCTTGTCTGTACGGTCACCATGGCATGTCTTGACTGTACCAGTAACATCAGGCACATTAAGTTTCTGTATATTTCAGGGGATGGGTTATGTTCCAAATTAGCCACAGAAGCTAACTAAAATTTGGGTATCACAGAGGAGGGGATGTCCCATGAATCCCCTACATTACACAAATCCCTTCTCCAGTCTGGTGCACTCCCCTGTCTCTCATCCTCAGGAAGACACATATAACAGGAGCTCTTCAGGGTTTGTAAATGGATTCTCAAATTGGCTTTGGGGAACATTGCTGTGATTGTAGGAATACACATGGCCCATCCAGCAGAATTTATTTTCCTTACCAATTTTACTGTGATTTCTAGCATTCTGCTGGCTACTGCAACTGTCCTGTCATTTGTTTATTTATTCGTTTGACCAGCTGTTGGGAACCATTCTGAAATTGCACATTGTTACTATGATTTTGTAAAAGATGTGGAGAAAGTATGCAAGGCACAGAGAAAATAACACATGAAAAAACTCTATGTATATTTTTTTTAAAGGTTCAGAGATATATTGTGACATGGCTGTGTACTTGATCTTGTATTCGTCATGTTTCCTACTTGGAGTTTTAGATAACGACATCCCTGTGATCAGAATATTTTTCCTTTATTTTCTTTCTCTCTCTTTTTTTTCTTTTTTTTTTTTTTTTTGCTACAAAATGTACAGTAAAAAAACATCCTTGGGAAAAAAAAAAGTCCCTGCTTTTCATTTATTTGTTATTCTGTGGTCCGCTTTGAAACCTAAGAAATAATTATTTTTTAAATTATCTTTAAAATTTAGACATTTGCTTTGTCTTTCCCAAAAAATGTCTTTGACTTCAGGATTTTGGGTATAAAGCAGGAATAAAAAAATATATACCTTTTTGGACTGCATAAGAAGAGGTTTGTAAAAGGCATTTCACCTCTTTTTCTGTTGTTACATTTATACAAGTCTATATTACTAGAGTACTCTAAACCCTGATCTAAAATCTGCAGACAGAAGAGGCAGCATTTTTAGACTTAGGACGTGACTTTCTCTAAGTTTTTGCTCAGATTCTTGCTCACCAGCAGCATTAATAGATTCAAGAGAGAGCCAGTCAAACTTTGTTTGGAACATTTTTCAAACTCCCTGTTTTTCTCACACTTTCTGAGACGAATGACACCTCCAGTGCCAGAATCTACATAATCCAACTGTCCAGATGGCAGTTCATATTAACCATTAATGACATGTACATTTATGTTGCACTGAAAACTCTTCAAGAAGTTCTTGTAGTGAGTTAGTAATTTTCTTTGCCTTTTTCCACTGTGGTGCAATTGGATTTTTTATGTTGCTACTTTGCTCTGACCATGACATCTGGGTTGTTTTTAATTTAGATATTGAGTTCATCTTAAATATTAGTAACATATGCAGCCATGAATTTTCAAAGTATATCATATACTCAAAGAGCAATACTCTTTCACATTCTCATATAAAATTAAAAGAAGTAAGCCAACAGATGCAGTTTTAAAATAATGGATAGTTGCCAAAGAACCAAGGTAATAAATTTCACACTCTAGCAGCTGCATTTATTATGGTTAATCATAATATTAATTCATTTAGCTTTAATGAATAAGGCTCAATCCACACCAGCTGATTTGAAAATACTGAGTAAAATTAAACAAGTGCTGGGCAATTACCTTTTGTGCTCGCAGTACTTGAGAAGAAGAGGATTCAGGGACTCAGAGGTGAGGCAGGGAGTTGAGTCAGCAAGTGGCCAGCCCTCAGGAAGAGCTGGGGCTACTTATGGGTTGTGATCATCCTTTAAGTGCCATCAGTCACTGCCCTACTGTCGGAATCTGTGGTATTGATGATTTCAAGATTGTAGAAAGTCTCTGTCTTTCAGCCCCGTTGCCAAAGCAGAAGCCATAATTCATCTGTGCTGGTTTCAAGGTTGTTTATTCTGTTTATCTCTAACATGTTCTGCTGCCCTGCCGCAGCTCTGTCCTGCAGGGCAGCGTGTGGGGCTCTGCCCTCAGTGGGATGGTACAAACATTAAATACCAGAAGCTACCTGTGCTGGATTTACAATAATGTGCCAATATCTGTCACCTACGTTGAACAGTGTGTCCCCAGCCTGAACCAATAGAAAAATGCCAACACCACAGTGAAACATGGAGGGCATGAAGAAGGAGGAAAAGGACAAAACACACCCAATTTCTTCCATCTTGTCCCCTTTGGACCCCTAATCTAGAATCCTAAAATTTTACTTTTGCACCCGTGCCACACTTAATTATTACTTATATCAAACACTCAGAGCTGGTAATTCATCCTGTAAGATTGAAAACTCTTTTCCATGGACAGAGATCACAGACAGTGTCTCTGGGGGCTCTGTACAGGGGGGTTCCTGACCCCCTGCCAGGGTCCCAGACCTTCCAGGGCAGCCAGAGGGATTCCCTGGATTCCCACACCCTACTTCCACTATCAACAAAGCAGGCCTTTGGAATTATCCTGTGGCTTCCTCTGAATCCCTCTGAGAGCTGCTGAAGGCAGCTCTGTAGTTTGGGTTACATTCTGAACACCTGCCCTAATTGCTAAAGTGAAATTAAAGCCCCAGGGTCCTCCACACACAATCTGACCAATCTCTACCTTGCCTTTGTTTTCCTGTGTGTACCTCACTCAGCACCCCTGGGTTTGATTATTCTTCTCGAGTGCTGCCATAGTACCATAATAGGGATTCTTTTTTTACCTCACTTCTGAGCACAACCACACATCAGTTCTTCCTGAAATGATAAAAAAAAAAGATGCCCCTTTACTTGGTGCAATAAATATTTTCACTCATCATTGAGGAGCTGAGATAGCTTTAATGGCCTAGCCCGCTCATCTCAAAAGAGAAAAGAAGAGACAACTTCTACACTGAGAAGTTTATACGGTGTCTCTCAAGTTAATATCAAGTCTGATGTGCAGCTGCACCAACCATGTTTTAGAGGCAAAGGTCAGGTAGTGCAGATAGTAAGGAAAACAAGAGATATCAACAGAAGTCTTCAGAAAAGAGAAATCTGAGAAATTAGGGGGACTAGAAAATTTAAAGTGAAGTCTATGAGAATAATTAAAGACATCTGCATATGCATATGTAAATCCTGTAAGTTAATTTTTGAGGTGTTTTATAATAGTGGAACTAGCTTTTTTTCCTAAAAATGTATGTCATTTTCTTGAAACAAGAAGATATGAGTCTACTGTTAAATTACACAGTTAGGCCTGCTAAAAATCCAACAGAAATCCCCAAAATATCATCCTATCATTCTGGAGAATATTAAACAAGATGACAAAATGGAAATTTCTGAAAGTAGTGATTATGTGGATTTCATTTGATGTCTGCTAAGAACCAAATGGTTGTATGAAATGAAAATAAAAGTGTGTGTGTGTGTGTGCCTGTGTATGTACATGTGAATAGCAAAGCAGACCAGACTATTTCCTTACATTTATATCCTTACAGATTACATTAATTGGAATATACTTCTGGTTTCAAATGTTCTTTCTGAGTTTTCCAGCTCTAGAGAGTAGCAAACTTTCCCACTTTCCTCAGAGGAAGATAACCCATTTGATATACCTCCAAACTACACATTGTACCTTGTTATAATTGGGATTAATTCACTTATAAAACAATGCATAACAAAGAAATGAGAGGTGTCTTTGCCCAACATGATGTGAGATTGAAAAGGTGGTAGATTTTCCTTTGCTAAACTTGTTTGTATTTCAAATCATGAGGCTGATCTGGTCTGGCAAGAGAAGAAAATAATATTCCAAATGCCTGCTTGTTTAATTTCTCACTTTTCACCCAGCAAAGGGTTGCAAAGACAGATAACAAAAGACAGCATTTGGAGGTTTTCTGAATGGGTGCAATAAATGCAGCAACTTTAATACAGCAAATTTAAGCACATTCTAACCCGGAGAGCAATGAATAATTGCACCTGATAGCTAAGAAAACATTTTAGTCTTTGAACAGCTTGAATTTCACATCTGCTTGCAATGTTTTGCACCCATTAACCTGTGGGTAACCCACAGTACACCATATGGTGCTCACAGTACCCCACTCTACCCCTTGCAGCCTATTTCTCTGAAATCTTTTCTCAGTGCCTCTCTGTGTTCGGTGTTTGTAATTGGGCAATTCCGGATGTGGCATTATCAAGAAACTTTATTAATATCTTGCATATTTCACCTTTAAATTCCCCTAAACATGATGATGAGATCCCTCTGAAAACATTAAATTAGGGCTGGTTTTAGGCTGTTGGCTGATGAAAACCAAATCAGAGTGCCTTGAAACTCTTGCTTTCAATGTAGGAATTTTATGTTCTGCAGGATGTTTTCCTTGTCCTAATTAACCACTCCTTCATCCCCAAAGGTACAGCATTCCTTAGCATCAGCTGTCAGAAGGCCCTACTACACAAAACAGTGCCAGATGCTTATTCCCGATATTACACTTCCAACAGATGGCAAATGTCAGAGATATAAATACACATCCACATACAGATATATCAGCAAGTGCAGGCATTTGTATTCATGCATATACATCCCCATGCACATGTGTACGTGTTGCACTCTTTATCTGTATGGTTTATGATGTACAGGTTTCCTAGCTTGGTAATGAAGAAACATTTACATTTTTCATTAAATACTAGTGGAAGAAAGAGAGAGAGAGAGCAGAAACCTCTTCTCTATAAGTAGATTAGTTGATAAGCTGCATCTCATCTGAGTTGGGAGACATTAGTTCTTCAAATTAATTGGTGGTGAAAGGGTTCATTCATTTCCTACGACCACAGTAAAGTCTCAGCTCCTCTGTTAGGGCATTTATTCAGCTGATGCTCCCACCACATGATGCAGATAAGTCTCCTGTCAATGAGGACTTGTGTTCTGCAGGGAGGAAAGCAGCCACGGGGAGTTATTGTTCTGCATTCACTGTGCCTGTTTGGGCTCTTAAATGTGCCCTGAGGATGTTCTTTAGTTAGTTACCTTGGTTCTTGGGAGAGGGCAGCATCACATGTTTTACTCAGTCATATGAGGCTCCCAGACCCAGGGCTAGAGAAACCAGTGGGAAACACTGAAAATCAATGGCCTGTATGAGAAGAAAATAATAACTTTTAAATCCACAAATCTTAGTTTGCAAATAGGAGAGGGAACACTCAATTCATTACCTGTACTGTTACAGAGGTGGGCATCAACTTATGTCAAAAGTTTGCCCATAATATTTTTCATGCAATGAGAAATTGAATATCCAAAGATATCCATCGTTGATGACACTTTTCAAGTTCATTCTGTGGGACTAGTCCATTTTAAAAGTATTAATACTCCTAGCCACTTCTCTTCAATGAATAATGTAGACTAGTTTGATGCTGCCCTGGTAAACACCACCTGTACCATTTATGTGTCAAATCACAAGACAGGTGTCTGAAAAGGAAAAAAAGACTGTTATTTCAGGGAAGCTGTTCCCCTTTGACAATATTGTTGGTTTACAGGCATGAAATACCCAATCTGAGAAGGCAAAGGCATGATGAAATGCCATCGTTATACCCTGAGTCTTGGTGGGACTTAAAGTAAAATCCAAAGAGTGGATGTGTTAATCTTCCTTCCTTTGAATATGACTCAGAGAAGGGAATTTTCAAATGATTAGGCTCATAAATGGGATGTGCTGTAGATGAAAGATGGTGCTCCTCAGATGGATGAGATCCAAGTGTTGCTGCAGCAGGGAGTTCCATGCTATCACTGGTGGAACAGCCATGCCAAAGTCTGCTGAAGCAGGATCCAAAGAGGATCACTGCACAGGTCACAGCTGAGACAGGAGGCGTGGAGATGTAGGAACATGTTAGATCCAGCTATTCCATGTCTAATAAATCATTCTATCCTAGTATCCCGTGACAGGACACTAGTTATTTCAGAGAAAGTACCAGTAGGAAAACTTCAGAGGACTCTGTCCCAAAGCCTGATGGGCTGCACATCCTTATCCCCTTCTCCATTAAGAAGCAAAGAATTCCTTCCAAAATTCACAACCTGAAAAATAAAGCACAGCAGAATTAAAACTAGGACCAAAAAAAAAAAAAAAAAAACCCAAAAAAAAAAGCCAAAAAAAACCCACTCTGAATGCTTCCTCTTCTTTCTCTTCTTTTAGAGTTCCTGCCTTTGAGTCTGTCAAGGCTGACTTTAAAACAAGATAGTTCTTATTATCTGAAACTGGGTTGCCTGAAGGACTTGGAAATGGACAGGTATTTGCAGAGATGATGAGAATATTACTAATTTGCTAGAAGGATGCAGTGCACCTTCTGTGTGCTTCACTGTCACTAAATGCAGACCAAAGTTCTTGGCAACAGAAGCAGCAACATTAAAACACATAGCAACTTTATAAAATATGAAACTTTGGCCCATAATTCAAAAAAACCCTGAAAAACAAACAAAAACTCCATCACTTCAAACAGTGACTTCCTTATCTAGTTTTGAGAAAAAAAAGAGCAGATATTAGTTCTTGTTTTCAAATACACCTCTGGATGTGCACATAATATAAAACCTCTGTAGAAAAAAAGATTCATCTTCTAAGAGATTATTGCATACTAGCAGGTTGTGTAATAGTATATGGAGATCAGATAAGAAACACTCAATATAGCACAAATTTGATCCTAAGAAACTGGTGCTCCTGAATTTTGGGCCACTAGGAGATGTTGTCTTTTTTTTTTTTTTTTCCTTCTTTAATAGAAGGCCAGAAATGATGGCTTTCTACGGAAGAAACCCCAGCAGGATTGTGGACCTTTAAAATCAAGTTGTGAGGCCAATTCCAAGCTGAGCAGGTGCATGAAAATGCAAACAAGCCTGAGGCCATTAGTACAAATGCTTTTAACAGCTGCCAGAGAGCCTCAGCTTGCTGTGTGGTTGGGCTGCTACACAAACACATCCAAAATGACTGCACAGACCCAAATGATTGAATGATATGCTGAGTGTTGACTAATGGGTAGCACTGGTTAGAAGTCATTAATGCAGATGAGAGCAATACAGTTTTGGCTGCAACTTCTGAACTACAGTTTTCTGTACCTGCTGGGTGCCCAAATCTGATCATTACTGCTGGTCTGGGCCACCAGAATCTGAGGGGCAAAGCCACCCATGTTATATTTCACTTACAAAGACCACTGAGAACAATCTTGAATAAGGTTCAGGAACATTTCCCTCCTTCGGGAATTTATGTTACAAAATCCTGCAGAACCTAAGTCCAGAAGGGGAACCCCACTTCTGTCATTTAGATCAGCCTGTAAGAACTTGAGTTTATTTGAAATGGAAGCAACTTACATCTCAATCCTGGCTTTCCAGGACTCACCACCTTCCCATCCTCATCTTCTCTCTTAGCCCTCCAGCCCCCTTCCCATCCCCTGATGAGATTTCATTCCTTCTCTGTTTCCTTTCTTTACTGATTTATCATTTGATTTTGGGCAAGAGGCTATTTTTCATCTGCTGTACACACCAGCCCAGTCAATGCCATGAAGTAGCTGCACATGAGAGGAGAATGAACATGGCTGATGTGATTTCTGGCCGTGCTCCATTCTCAGTTACTCTGCTGCAACTTTGCTGCTGACTGCACTGACTTAGAATTACAATTGTAATTGTAATTGATTATTACAATTACAGTTATTTGAATTATTCAGTGTAACAAGACAACCAAATGAACTGAGATCCTTCATCAATCACAAACTGAGGACACAAATTTCTGGAGACATATCCTTTAGTTTTATCTCAATGGGTTCATGCACGCAGTTCAATACTTGGGACCTTGCTATATTTTCACTCCTAATTAATAATCTGGGGATGGCCATTTCAGTTTGATTTCTCCAGAACAATCATAGAGGAAACAATTGACATAAATACAGACTAAACAGAGCCCCTAGGTTTACCATGATTCCAGCAGGATGCAAAGCATAGACATTAAGAATATCAAACTGGTGAGCCAGTTTTTAAAGAGCTAAAATTCATTCCTACATCAGACATGTTAGTTTTGTTATTAATGTCACCATGTTGAAATTGCATCTGGCATTAATATGGATGGTACCAGGTGAGGAGCTTTGGAATTAATCTCCAGGACAGGTGACCTGGATTTTAGTGAAGAGAGGATCTCCTACCCTTCAGGTGCCTTATCCTCTCCTTAATATTTTTGAGTATCTGCTCTATATGTTTAGTAAGCTAATCATTCTAAATATCTATTTTAGGTAGTTATATAACTTCATTCCCATAAATGTAGAATGCAGTGTGGCAGGTTTCCATTTTCCATATTATTTGTGGTATACATAGATGGGTCACATTATTGTTCAGAATGAAATCCCATACAGATACCATATGTTTTTCAAAATCCACCAAAATAAACATCCAGT